CATCGAAAGCTTGCCTAGCCGTTTGCTGTGCTCTATCCTGCCAACAAACATAACGACGATCGATTTCTTCAATTCTGCGCAGGTCACCATCTATTCCTATTCAGTATCAACTTCCAACACAGCTGTTGACGGACGGCAACTGGTACGCTAACTCAACTCCTCCACATTGCAGTAAGCTACCGTTGGCGTGGCTCAGTGCAAAATCGTTGATCCCATTGGACCACTTGCGTTTAGTCCGACCGCACATTAGTTTTGAGGCTGTTCACTCTCCGACTCACTGGGCGGGGACAAAACCGGCATAGTTGGTTATCTCATGACCACCCGTCTGTTCTAGCAGTTCTTGCACGCTATGAATCAAAGATGTGTGAGCTAAGCGCGCTTCAAAGTGATGATGTAGATGAGCAGTAGGATCAGAGTAGGCTAGCGATGCATTCCGCAACGAACGTTGCTTGTGAGTATGAGCCTCAAACCCGTCGGGGGCATTTGATATCTCATGAATCATTAGCCCTGATGAAGAAAAAAATGACAAATCCCGATTGGCCAGGATCCAAATAGGGTTAAGTGGCGTCTGCAGCGTCAGCTGACGAACAACCTCAAGATGGACCGTAAGAACCGGTGGGTAACAATAGCTAGTGAACTGGAAGTAGCAGCTCCATGAGGGAATAGCCAAAGACTGTTCCAACTGATACGCAATGCAGGAGGTCGGCGAACTCCAGTTCATAAAGCAGTCTGCCATAAAAGGGGATAAGCCATTCACAATAGGAATCAACTGCTCGATCGCTGGGCGGAATATTTCAGCGAGCAATTCAGCTGATCTGGTGCTAGCCAGATTACTTCATCTGCAACGAAGGCTCCTTGTGCAGTAACATGCGATTCTCCAGCAGAAGCAGAAGTTCGGTCTTGCATTCAAGCTATGCAACGAGGAAAGAAAGCAGGACCGGTTGGGCTCCTCACTCTTTTCAAGATGGGGTTGATAACCTCGTAAGCTTCATTACTGCGCATTACTTCATCTTGGGGCGAATTACTTATCGTTCCCATTTTCACGAAAGGATCTTAAAACGATTGCGAAAACCAACGCGGGATAAGTTTTCTCCCAATCGTCACCAAAATGCTAACCTCCGTCGTATTCTGACATCTGACTCCTTTAAGAGAAACCAACATCCGTGAACACCAAGCCGAATTCCGGCCTGGCTGTTAACGTATCGATCAAAACTGAACGTTGCGTCAGGTCCTTGAGCCGCGTCACACCCACCATCGACCAACGATTGCGCTGTTGCTTGACCTGAAAGAAGCCTTCAAATCAGCTGACCGCGAAGCTCTGATGGGATCCATTCTTCAGCAAGGAATGCTCAGAAGTTCGTTATGGCGTTGGTAGAGGGTGCCCTATTTCGCCATCTCTGTTCGATTTCGTATTTGACGAAATAGTACACAACACACTTAGTAGCCTGTAAAATGTTGGTATTAGCAACTGGCGAAAAGCTGTACGATTTAGAGTATGCCGATGACGTTATCTATCTGTTCGAATGTATTCAGGACGCGCAAAGCGCACTTGATAGACTAAAACTGCAGTTAACCCATTCGGTATGTGCTTTACATCTTCAAAGTGCAAAGTGATGCTGCAAGATTGGGTGTCGCCTACTCCCGCTTTGAAACTAAATAGCCATGAATTAGTTATAGCGGATTACTTTTCCTGCTTAGGCAGTTGTGCGATCAATGACGGTAACACAGCAAAGGAGGTAACCACCCGCATTTCCATGGCTTTAGCATCGTACGCAGGACTGAAACACCTTTGGCGTAGACGCGACGTTTTACTGAAGTTGAAAGGTTGTGTTTATTGCGCTAGCGTACGTTTAGTTTTGTTTTACCGTTGTGAGACCTTGACTTTACGATTAGAAGATATACATCGACTAGAAATTTCGATTATCAGTGTTTCTGTAGTCTAGCCCACGTGGAATGGAGCGAACAGGTTCATAATCTAAAGATAGGCTGTCGTGTGTTTGGGACTTTATCGGCGATAAACTTGCTAGCTCATCGAATTGAGATGATTAAGCTTCGATAACCAGGGCATGTATTGCATATACCAAGCTGTCATCTTCCGCGCCGCGCTTTATTCGTTGTAGCTACTCTTGGTGATAGCTTGCTGGCCTTCGAGCTATACAAGATAGCTCCTCTCAGCCGCAGATCCATTCGTGCCTGAAAGGTCAAGGGTAGGGGCCAGACAAAGCTCAGGTCCATAAGGCCAGCGAATTGGACAACTTGACGATCTACTTTAGATCCTGGGGAGGTCGCTCGAGCAAATGAACACGGTGAGGGTCAGTTTACCGGTCGTTAAACCCCGCTAAGTTAACGTAGGAGCGGGTACCTTGGGTATCCTCCCGACGGTGGGAGGTCTTCACACTTAACTGGAAAGCTACCGCCCGCCC